TTGATATTTTCGTTTATTTTTTTCCTGTATTTTATGTTAATTTGAATAAAAAAAATTCGTTACAAAAAATTCAAAAAGAATCAGATAATGTTTTCTTAATTTATTATGTCAATATTTATTTATATTATAGTTAAATAAAATTTTAAAACTTTATTTCAAAAATTAATATGAAAAACATATTTTATTATTATTAGTAATGAATAAAATTAAAATATAATTGTATATATAAAATTTTATAATTTTTTTCTAATTATTCATAAAATTCTTATATGATTTTATATCATTTTGTAATATGTTTTAATTTTTATTGTATATATTTTGTATTATATTTATTAACATTAAATTCTTTGAACTTGTACATGAAATTTACAACTTGGTAATGTAGAAATCTCTGCATTAACAGTACTAATAATTCCAAGATTTGCCAAACTTCCTCTTAAAAGTCCACAAGTAAATGCTAATAAACGTGGACTTTCTTGTAAATATTGTTTATTATTATTAGTACCTACTTTATTTAATAATCGAAATGAATTATCTTGTAATACATATACACCATGATGATTTGTCCTTAAATTATCAATTTGTTTATGATAAAGACTTGACCAAAAATCAGTACAGATAAACTTTATCATATCCAATTCATCTTTAAATCGATTCCATTCTCGTGTCAATCGTTCAATGATTCTATAACCAACACTGAATCCCATCCATTCTAATCGAGACAGTTCTTCTTCTCCTTCCTTTATATTTTAAATATTATTATTATTATTACAGATAGATAGATATTAAAATTATAGTGCAACATTATTGATATTTTATTTAAAAACATAATTTTTAAAATAAATTTTTATAATTTTTGAAATTTTAGAATCAGTTTAATTATAATAAACATGATAAAAACAATTATAACAAATATGATAAATATCAAATATAACTTCAACTTTCATTTTATTATTGCACATTTTAAATATAATTTTTTATATTATATTATTTTTATATTTTTAAAATATAAACATAAGTTCAATTAAATAATAATTTAATTTAAAAATTTAAAATGTTATTTTATTATAAATAACAAATATACATTATAACAAATATATTATTTCATAAAAATAAAAATTAACATTTAGTTAGTTTAGAAAAATAATTTTATTGTATATTAATATATTATTCATACTATATTGTCATTTTTTATATTGTAATTTCTATATATTATTAAAAAGCTATATATATAATATAAATTTTTTCATTAGAAAAAGATATTACTATTATTACATTTTATTATAACATTATATTTATTATTATCTTCAAAATTATTATATATTTATAAAAAATTTCATTATATGAAATATTTGTAGTTGCTTCTTTCTAATCAATAATATTTTTATTACATATTTTTAAAGATTTAAAAATATATTCATATTAAAAAATAACATTAATTTTCTTGTAAAATTAAAATATTTTTATTCTTCAATTGATAATGTATATTATTGAAGAAAATAGTTCGCAAAGCTATTGAATGATAAATTTATAGAAATAAATAATTCATATAATAAATAAAAATATTTGAAAAATATAATATAATATAATAATTTAATATTANAATTTATATAAAATTATTGAATTATATAAAAAATTTATTAATATATAATTACCTTATTTTTACACGATTTATTTAAAGCATAATTAACCATTTCAGCATGTAAATATTCGAAAAGACATTCATCAGCTTCTCCAGATATGTGAGAATTAATTTTTGTATCAGTTATTTGTTGTCTCATTTTTGCTTTTTTTTTTAAATCATAATATAATATTATTATAGAATATATAATTAATATACATCAATGGTACATGTATTATAATATACACTTTATATTGATTAAAAAGAAAGGCAGTTTCTGAAATACTGTTACTAACTGTTTACAATTTATATAGAATATGTAATTTATATAAATATTTATATAAACTCCACTTATATAATTCCAATATATATCGATAAAGATAATAAAAATATATGATTACGATGATTAATATATGATTATATATGTACATAACCATAGTTTATTTTATATATAGATGTAAATCTAGTGACATATGCCATTATACAAACTCGCAGTAGTTCATGACAAAATGACATAAAGTTCATTGTATATAAATAATGTGTATGAGGCTTTACTTATAAATCATTATAGAAATAATTTAGTTCATTCAACTTTGGAATTCTATGATATCCAATTTTATATGTAAATAATATAAATATAATATAAATATAATATAAATATAATATTTTTAAATATTTGCTTATAATAATATACAAATTTTATCATAGTATAAATCATCAAAATGTCAAAAAAAAATACAATGAAATAATTAAATTATTTATAAATATTAATTTATTTTATTAATCAATCATCTTATTAATAACCAAAAATGAATTATCATATCAATTATAAGTATTAATTACAATTATCAATTATAAGTATGTAATTAAATTTTAATGAATTAAATTTTAATAAAGTTTATATTCAAACTTAAAATTTTAAATAATAATATTTTACAATTTTGTTTTTATTTGATATTATTTTTTTTTGTTAATAATAAATTTCAATTAAATTAACTATTATTATTTGATAAAAATTAATTTGATTAGTATTTCTTATTTATAATTTCCTTAAAATAATTATTATTATTACTATTAGTATTAAATTATTAGTATACTATTAGTATAAATTATTATTACTATTAGTATTATTTTAGACATACTATAATTTTATAAATTAACATTATATTATACAATTAACTTATACAATATACAATTAACATTGTATATTTCTATAATAATATATTTAGTTTTATAAAAGCAAATAAATAAAAATATTGTCTTGTTTAAAAAAAATTATTTAATCGAAAAAAATAGAGAAAATAAAATCATTACCTGAAAAAGAAAAGTTTAATTAGAAAGAACATATATTATGAAAGAAATTTATTTAATAAAAGAAATGAAAACATTTGATGATCAATAAATATCAACATATATCAACTAGTTATTTGGCAAAAGAATATATGAATTCTAAATTCTAATTCATATTTTACAGAAGCTAGAATAGTTTCTTTTTCTAAATTTTATAAATTCAGTTAATGATTTTGAATTATCTTTTGAATAATCCATTCGATATGTAGTTTATAGTGACATCTAAGTACTTATATATATATAGCAATGCGCATGCGCATACATTGTCAAAACTCGCATCTCGTATAAATAGAGGCGGTGAAAGTTCATACAGACAGTTTACTTCGAGAAACAGTTTTGCGAAGTTTTTAGAAGTGTACTTGTATTTTTTTTTTCTCAGACAGAGAAAAATTATACAGACATTGTTAACTTCTTGTGATTTAATTTATTTAAATCAATATATTACTTAATTTTTTTTTGATTTGAAAATTAATTAATTTTTCTGGTTAAAGTAAATAGAAAAAGAAAGAAGAAAAATAATATGCCGGCTGACGTAGCAATGCATACTAGCTTCCTACAATTCAATCAATCGAGTTTGAAAAATTCAAATGTGGATTCTTGTTGGAATACTGAAAATATGAGCGGTTATATGACCTTAGTGGGGCCGAACGGCCATCGCCAAGGTGTACAAGTGAAGGTTTACCGGACGAGTGTTGAGCATTTCGCTGTAATTTATCCACAAAAAAAGGTGTGCAGACCTTTAGGTGTATTGAATTTGAGAAATACAATGATCGAACGTTATGGGGAAGAAGGTTTTCTAGTTAGGCAAAAAGGTTTCGATTCACCTATTGCTTTAACTTTTCTTATGGAGAATAAAAAGGAACTTGATTACTGGATAATGGCTTTTACTGTGAAAACGAGTCCGTTGATGCATCAGAGCAGTTTGCCAATTGTTGAAGAAGAAGATATCTAAAAATGTTTTTCAAAAGTTGTTATATTGATTAATCCTTCTTCATACACTAGAAGAAAAGTTTAACAAAAAGAAGAGTATTAATTCTTATACTCAATTGCAGTGCTTCCTCGACCTAATATATCCAATTTTCTACGTGTAATTTCATCTTGTGTAATTTGGGAAGAATTTTGATTCTTTTATATTAAAAGAGTCGCTCTAGAATTCTGAAATGTCCAATTATTGTTGATAGAAAGTGGATTTTTCTGGTTCTAGAAATATCCAGCTATTCAATACGAAGATGGGTCATGAATCAACTTACTCTAAATCTATATTAAAACAAAAGTTGATAAATCAGAAATCATGCAATTTGAATTTATTGAATTCTATGAAAAATTGATCAAGCATAAAAGTATTTATATATCATAGATGTATTATTTTTATGAACATATTATTTTAATAGTCTAGAAAATTGTAACGCGAGGCCATGTTGTCACTAGGCTCTAACAATTGCAGCATCATTGATCCTAGCCAGCTATAACCAATCGTAGTTTTCCTTTTAGCCGGCGTACTGCGAAAGATGAAAGGAGATAGGACATGAAGAAGAATCAACCTTTGTAAAACAAAAAAGCAAGAAATACAAAGATAAAAAAAAAATCAGAAAGTGAAAAAGGAGGAAAGTTAATATTTTTCTTATGAATATAAAATTACGCGATTTGACTATGCACATCGGTGTGATTCCTTTCCTTTTTATGTGAAAATAACCGTTAACTTTGACCTGGCAACTGCGATTATGTTTTATTGATCATCGGTTAAGAAAAAACTTTCAAATGATTTGTTCGAGTAAAAAAGGTATAACAAAATAACTTTTTAGAACTCAATTTCGATAAATTTTTCTAGATATTGAATCTCTTAAATAAAATGAAAAATATATATAATCATAATTGTTATTATTATTTTTATTTAATCTTTTTTTGTCTCATTTTTTTTATTCTTTATGATAGATTCATTCAGGAAATATTACTAGCCAAACATGTTACGATGATTTTGTTGATTATTAATGTGATTAAAATTAAAACTGTATTTACAAGTTAAATTGTCTAGCCACATTTCAAAATGAATTATATGAATGACTGATTGAGCTGCCAATTAATACATATCAGTTAATATTTTTATTTGTTATTATCACGAACATCTAGATAAAATCGAAATAATTTGTTCGTTTTTCTCTCAAATACATATTTATATATTATTATTGATTTTCAATTTTGATTGAAATCTTGAAATGTTATATATAATTAATATAATTTTAATAATTATATTAATTAACAATTTTAATAGTAATTAATTTTCTAATTTATAAATAATGTGATAATATTTTACATGATCGCATAATGAATGGTACTGTATATATAAATAATACGAATATCTAATATAGTTAATAAATAATTATTAGATTATATCAGAATATATAAAATAATATGAGAATTTGCGTGTTCATTTTTAACTTATTATAATCAAATCAAGAATTATCGACTTGCAAATTAAAATGCTGAATATTGATGAAATGGTTACAAATTTGATTTTTTAAATATTTTTCTAATAATATATATTTTTATATTTGTACAACTTGTCTGCATCTTGATACAGGAGCAAAAATAAAAAAAATTGCTAAAAAATTATTTTATATTTTTCGTTGAACTTAATAATATTATTTTCATATAATTTAAATCTTTATTAATTTTCTCTTAGGAATTTAAACTAAATATTTATTTAAATATATAATAAAAATTTATTTTTTCCGTAATATATAAAATCATATATTGTCAAGAAAATGTCAAACATATTATATATATATAAAATATCTTATATATATATGTAAAGAATTGTAATCGTTGCTGCGAAATGTCCAAAGATATTTATCATTTTTTTTGTATACATTATTTCCATGTAAGCCCAGATATATGTTTTGTTTAATATGACAAAAATCATGAAAAGCATTTTTGTAATTGATATTATCTTGAATTGTTAATGATATTTTGTGATATTTTTAAGACTGTCTGTGATATTACGTAGACGATGAAATAGTTACAATAGGTTTCAAAACAGTATGCATATTACGTAGCAATCCATGCACAATAAAAATAAAAAGAATTCTCGAAAAATTTATTTTTGATTACTTTATTATGAAATATTTAATTTCATAAAATGAGAACGAAACAAATCTGTTATCAATATACCGATATCATATTTGTTTTCTATCTTAACTTTTTTTCTTTTTGTAAATACTAGGAATATATTGAACAAATGATTATGAATATTTAGATTTTATTATTTGTATAAATGAATATATACATATGTATCACATTACATAAATTCAAATATATATTGTAATTAAGTTTTTTGTAAAATTGTCATTCAAGATTATTATAATCCTGTTTAGATAACTCTTATATATAATAGTCTTATATGAATAGCTTTTAGAAAATTTTTTTATAAAATTTGCATGTAAATTAACAACAACAATTTGCTCCTAAATTTTTCCGTTTAAGATTATATATCAGCTAAATATTGTAATTTCATATTTACATTGTAGCAATATATACTATATGTATGTGCAACAATTTTTGTATATATGTATTATTAAAAATTGTATTTCACATGTATATCACAAATAAATATCAATATCAATTATATATATAATAAAGAAAATTCTTGTTAGTTTTATTTTATTATATTAATTTTTATTTAATTTCATAAAAAAATAGATATAGAAAGATATAGAAAATTTATTAATAAAAGATGTTTGACTTTAATTTATTCTTTTATTTGAAGATTTCAAAATCATTAATTAAATTTTTTTTCAAATCTTTTATTAATTTGGTTATTGTGATTCACTTTCAAATAAATAAATTTATTATATTTAAAAAATATTAACCAATCATAAATGGATAATTATAATTTCAAGTAAACTAATTTTTATTATGTATAATACGTTTTTTTAAATTAAAAAAGGAAAAATATTTTTAAAAATTTCTTTCATATCATTAAAAGTAATAATTATTAATATATAAAATATATATTAACTGTAGATTTTAATATTTATATCTATTAATATTTAA